TACCAGAGGGGCAGTGGCGGCAGTGCAGGTGAGATGATGTCATGACCAGGCTGAACTTCTTCCCCAGCCAGTAAATATGGCAGGCACCGATCAGAATAATAAGCTAGAACGGTTTGAGCACTCTGTACGACCCTGTTATCATCTAATACTCCTAACAAGATTTGTCAGAGTCCGTAGCTCCAGCAAGACGAATAAGGCGATACAGGATAAAGATGCAATGCGAAGTATTGATCGCGGCCATTGCGACCTCACAACCTAACAATCATAGCACGGCAACATATTATTGCGAGGAAGTGGTGATAGGCTCTATAAATAAGCGAGACGTTACCACCCCCACCAGTGGTGCAAGCTAGTGACCAGTGGCGTATCCCGGGGGCCCGTTTCGACAAGGCGCTGATGATGCATACTCACACTTGAAGTCGGTGTGAGGGAAGAGTAGAGAAGTCACCAAGTAAACGAATCACGAAAAGAGAAGGGCAACTAGTTAAGAAATGTAGACAAAATTGATTCTATCTTGCATGGGTATATAATGTAAATGCCAAAAGCTCATCATCCTCCGTAGTCGTATCATATATCGTATAACCAGTGAGATCCCCGTTTACCGTCTCATGACCCATCATATCATGACCATGTTCTCCAAATGATCAAAACCATAAATGCAAACATGACAAAAACGTCGAACAACCACCTCACCATCTCATCACGTCACACACAACATCTCCTCCCAACCCACAGTCCACCTCACACTCCCCATAACCACAACCAACAACCCCAGTCCCGCGCCCACACTCGCACCCGCATAAAGATACGCACTCCTCCTCCTCTTCGCCGTATCAATCTCCACAATCCACGTGCTAACCGTCGTCAAACAACCACAGAACCCGTCTTGAATCCCTTGTAGCACGGCACAGCCCACCACACTACCTCCAACCAGGCCTGTACTGCTGAGAGGCACGTGTTGGAGATCGTATGCCATACCCAAGACTGCAGTACCGAATATATTGACGGTGAAGGTGCCAAGCGGGAAGGAAGGCGCGATGGGATTGAGGAAGAGGGAGATGTAGTAGCGGAGGAGACAGCCTGCGGGGGCGAAGACGCATGCGAAGAGGGCTTGGGAGCGCCATGTTGAATAGGGAGGTAGGCACACCATGATGATTGCGCCGAACCATACGCCCCAGCCCAGGATGACGAAGATAGGGTCGCAGACACGGCGTGTGAAGCGGAAGTGTAGGCTGGGTGTTATGCGGTCTAGGGCTAGAGCAAGATGTGCGCCGATGTGGAGGGCGCAGTAGCATGTTGCGATGGTTATTATGATGGTGGCTAGGATGGCCATGACGGAGTATCCGCCGTTTCGCGGGACTGTGGTGGTCACAGATGGCGTAGGTGTACCCGCAGGATAGGGATGATTTATAGGGCTTTTGAGATCATTCGATAGCGCGAGGAAGATGTCGCGCATGAAACTCGAGAAACTGGTGAACGAGCCGCAGAACCCTGTTGCAAGACCAATATACATCGGTATAGTCTTCTTGATCTTCCCATGCCGCGCTTTATGTTGAGAGTGTTCGATGTCGTTGGCGGGATAATCGGTTGGTTCGGGCAGTTTCTCTTCACCATCATTACTATTACTGCGACTCCCCCATTCGGCAGCGAAGAGACGGCGGTCCTCTGATAGAAACCCCATTATGAATGTGCCGGCGACATTGGCCCAGAGCTCAGAGAAGATGACTGGCGCGCCGGGGTAGAAGGTGAGGGCCTGTAGACCCAGACGAGCTAGGGTGCCCCATATGGAGAAGAAGATGAGGTAGGAGATGGTGTACAGCTCCGTGGCACATCTTGATGCTTTTTGCTGCCCAGGGGTGCGCTTGGAGCGCAGATAGTGCTCTGCGTCGGTGTGGTGATCGTCGTAGCGGTGGGTGTGGTCGTGGCCGTCTTCCTGAACGGGCGACATGCTGGGCAGGGCCGTAATGTCTAGCTGAGACCCTGATGCAGCACCGGGCGCTACTCGTCCGAGAGGAAAAGAGGGTCTTCTCGATCGGTGTGGATGTGTTTGAGATGCCGGACTACCACCACCTGCATTCTCTCTCTGCGACGCCCTGCTCTGCGCGCGCGTTCTGGGTGTGCGCAAGGGCGTTGGAAGATTGGGCGAATGCGCGTTATCGTTGTAGAGATGGAGCCAGGAGTCTGCTCCTAGGAGGTCGTCGTCGTGCTTACTCTCGCCGGCTCGTGAGGAGACTGTGCTGAGCGAACGGTGCTTCCCGGCGTTTTTGTCCCACCGTTTCACGCTGCTGTACGAGTGATTCCGCTGTCGCGTATACGGCACGTTGGGTGCAGGCGAGGCGGTCGAGGTAGGCGAGGGCAATGGCTCGCTATCCGCGTGCTCCGAGTGGACTCTCTCGAGGTCGAGGTTGAAGTCGTGCAGGCGGCGCAGGTCGCTGCGGGTTCGAGATCGCGGTTCCGGGCGGTGCGATGACTCTTCGGAGAGGGTGGAAGAGCGCAGCGACGAGCGCTGGTTGTTGAAATGCGACTCGCGCTTGGTGGGGACATCGTCGTCGTCGAGTGCAGCGTTGGCCATAGCTGCCGTCCTGGTCCCGTTTGTGCATGCAGCTTCGATGTGCAATGACGTGCGGGTCCCAAGGTGAGCAGGCACCCGTAACTTTGTAGTGTATAATTTCAGCTCAAGACGCCGTGTGCAACTTGGAGTAACGCGCCATGCTGCTTTCTATGATGCCGGGACAAAAGTGGCGATGCCCGAGAATAAAGACAGCACACGTATATCAGCCCTCCTTCGCGTTTCTCCTCCCTCCTGCGCCAAATAAGAAAAGGTCAAATCTCAGCAACCTTTGCTTATGCACATAATGGGACGAATGGCGCGCGCTTCCTTTTTGTCCGATTGGCAGGGGCTCCCCAGTCTAGCGGCACTGCACCTGCCGAGGCGTGACAAGGTTTCATGTCACGGAGGCGCCCGACGCCATGGCATCTGTTATCGCCGGCATGTGGGGAGCTAGGCGTGACCACGCGCTTGTCTCATGCACCTTCTTGATAGGACAGTAGGTGTCAAGTTGAACACCGACTATATATTCCAGAATACCAAGACCTGCAATACTACTGTATCTTCTCTACGTAATTACACTGCAAATCCACCATGTCCGGCATCAACCTCCCCAAGAACGCCCACGTCTCAACACACCCATGTCTCCAGGCGAAGCTCTCACAGCTCCGATCCGTGAGCACAGGGTCCAAAGATGCGCAGACCCTGGTGCATGAACTGGCTCTCATGGTCGGCTATGAGGCACTGGCCGCTGGCCTAAAGGCACAAGAGGCAGGCACGGTACGTTCACCCGGTCACGTCATGTTATGCCACAAAGTGGGGTGGTACTCCACGACATATACTTATAGAAGGATTCCCATATCCTCAAATCACCCCCCAACAACCATAGCAGCAATGCTATACCACACCATACCATACTATACCACCTACTAACATGCCGTCTCTAGGACAAATCCCCGCTCGGCTACGAATACACCACAACCACCACCTCCCCCTCACCGACCTCCATATCCCTCGTCCCCATCCTCCGCTCCGGCCTCTCCATGGTCCCCGCGCTCTCCTCCCTGCTCCCCATGCCCGTGCCCGTCCACCACCTCGGTCTCTACCGCGAGAAATCCACTTTACAACCCGTAGAATACTACAACAACCTGCCCTACCACACCCCGCACGCTGCTGGCTCAACCAAGCCCCAACCAGAGCTGGCAATTATTGTAGATCCCATCATCGCGACGGGTGCGACGGCGCAGGCGGCGATTGACACGCTGAAGGATTGGGGTGTGAAACGGATTATCGTCGTGGCTATTCTGGCGACAGAGGAGGGGCTGCAGAAGGCGTGTGGAGAGTGGGAGGAGGGCGTTGAGGTGTGGGTTGGTGGGTGCGATAAGGGGGTTGATGAGAAGGGCATGATTAAGCCCGGGCTGGGCGATATTGGCGATAGGCTGTTTTTGACGTTGGGGAAATAAGTAAACAAGGGGATATGAATCATGATTGAATGTGAAAAAAGACAGTATTTATGTCATGAATTACATGAAGGACCGAACAACGTCGTGATCAAGTTGGGATCAAGTGATTTACTCTTAAGGTCAGGCAGGTAGTCATCAGCCCTGTCCCAACCTCTATGTCTTTGGAAGAACGAACATGTCTTTGGTCGTGCTTCCAAAGACATAGAGGATGACACTGCGCTGATGACTACCTGACTGTCAATGATTCTGTTGATCATACCACCGCTCCGTCCAGCCATTCGTTCCCGTGTACTGATGCATATCATGGATTCGACGAACATCTACACAACGGTATGATCATGTCGGGATCAAGTGTTCTCCTCCCATGGCGCGCCAATCGGGTAGGGAGTGAAAAGGCTGCAGCTCCGGACTGTACCAACTAATGTGGTGCTTCTTTTACTTCTCTAGCCGGCAATAGAGACCCCCTCAAGTCTGCTTTACAAGCTACCAAGTTCGATACGATAAACGGGGTGTAGGGCGCCTGAACATCATGGCATACGCCAAATCATGGGGCCTCAACTGATGTTCGTGCCAGCGCGAATCCTGGTCCACGGAAGCAAAGTGCATCAAGTGTCGCGCGAGTGAACCATCGTCTTGCTCGCTTCCGAGGTCGAAGTTGCACTTGATGCAGCCTATTCCAGCGGCCATACGTTGGAGCACTTCTGGAAACTTCTCGTAGAAGTAACAAACACGGCGTCGCCTGGTGAACCATTCAAGCTGCGTAATTCCTGGGTCGTCTTTGGGCGTTTGCAACACGTCCATCGCATTTTGCCACGCGGAATCGCGTTGTATAACGTTGTCGAAAAGTTTGTGCGCAAGCCTGGGCAATGCGACCATTTCCCCATCGAATACCAATGTGAATGCGCCAGTTGGCATACCCAGCGATTCCAAGGCATCAGCCTCGACCATCCAGGGTGTGATTGCTTTCGTCAGGGACCGAGCCTCCGGCCTTACAACAGGACGCCACCAATCTGGCCATGGAGGGGCACGAGGATAATCTAGCCAGGTCCTCCGATTACGTTTGGCTTTCTGTGTGTCGCACTGCATGTATACCCGTCCCTCATCACGCCAAGGATATGGGTGATGGAAAGCAGAATCAGTTTTCCAGATGCTGACACGTCGTTCGATGCGTAGCTTCGGCATGTCGATGCAGAAAGGTATAAAGCCTCGCATGTGGCACTCAGGATTTGCGATGGATTCTTGTTGCTCGATCAGACGAAGGCGTTTGATCTTCTTTCGCAGCCCTTGGGGTGTGAAATTGAGGAATTGTAGTGCGATGGCTGCAGCTGAGAACGGATATCGAGCGGTCTTCAAGCGAATAGCGGTATCTTCAGTCGGCACGCCAGGTACAGACGCGGTTTGTGTGAAGTCTGTGTTGGTGGGAATTGCCCAAAGTCTTGACTGTAGGTTGGTGAGATCTAACAGATTGCGAGCTGGTAGTTGGGCGCCTGATGGTAGCCGCAAGATGTCCATCCATTCGATGTCGTCGTTCGCGAACTCGGGATGCTTTGCCAGCACAGTCAACGTGTGCTGGATGAAGTCGCGATATATGGATGGAGCCTCTCCCCAGTCATAGCCCTTGGAGAACCATGTCTCATCGCGGTTCGAGCGCCAGGCAGAGAGTATGGGCTGAAACTGTGGATAGCATGTAGCTATCTCTTCCTCTCCGGCCTCCGTTAGAAATCTACGGGCCATTTCATCGACGACATCCTCCTTGTAAAGTAAGATGTGGCCAATGTCATCGACCCATTGGTCGTCACTCTCGCGTGGCGTGTGCACGAAAGCAGCATGGAAAGTGAGATTGACTTCGAATGCGCGACAAAGTAACTCCTCTAAGATGGTATGACAAGTGAAGCCAAGGGACGTGTCGTTAGCGTCCTGGTTGATGATGGTAAACTTGTGTGTCTTTGCGTCGTATGTAGATTCTGTATCCGGTAGGTAGAGCTCGTATACGATATCTCGGAGTTCTCGTGGTAGGTCCATGAAGGATAGATTGAGTCTTTCTGATTCGGTAGTGGCATCCTGATCTGGCGGTACAGTAGGAGAGGGCGAGATATTGATATTCTTGACGATGAACATCCGGGCCAGAGCTGAAGATTCATCGAAGGCCATTGTGGTTTCGCCCGTGTGTGCGATATGGATTGGAGTCCAGGTGAATGCTCGAAGACTATGAAGGAGCCAGGGATTTATACACTGAGAATTGTTCCCAAAACACATTGATCTAGTAACTGTTGCCAGAAGATATCCAGGTCGCAGCATGCAATGGTGTTATCACGCTTCGGTTGAGAGTGCTGCCTGGGAATATCCGCAACTCGTGACCAGACTTCCAGCGTATCATTGCGGCTTCTTGCTTAGCTCGAAGTACAATTCCCAGTGGTTTTTACACCCAGGATTGAATGCGCTTCCGCATTGTGTGCATTTGCTTCCGCTGTCCATGTATTCGGTCACGGTCAGCACATGCTTGCACTTCCCACAAAGCACTGCGTTCTCATCTCTTCGTGTATAAGGCCAAATATCAGACCCATGAGACTCGCATGCATCGTGGCAACTGATACAGGCGTAGAACTTCTGGCAACAGAAATGCTTGATGGCGATGATGTCAAGCGGGGAGTGCCAATGGGAGCATTGCGTTAGCGGTGTAACTGACAAGCCGTGAACAGTCGGAGAGTCTTGTGTTTCGGATGACATTAGGGTACCGGCAATGGTCGTGTGGCGGAATGCGGTGTTAAGGCCGTGCATGTGAAGGATTTCGGCCGGCTGTGAGGCTGAAAGCTAAGAAGCGCTGCGGGATGATCAAGTGGGTGACCCCACTCTTTCGTCATCGCTTCATCCAGTCGGAAACACCAAGTGATGAATACTGTAACGCGTCTTTTTCTTCTCGACACATGCAGATTTGAAGCATACATCTTCAGATGTAAATGCCGCAATACAACGGCATGGCTTCCGTAGCTGCCTGGTATGGGGTCCCACAAGATGTATAATGAAACGTCGCGACACTTGCCAATTCGCTGAAGAGATTTCCTATTGGATCACCGTCCCCATTGTTTTTCAGCGATGCTTCGCTCAAGCCCGAGTTTTGCCGGATGCTGTTACTGTACAGCACAGCTCAGAGCCCTCAGACGTCACTAGCCCCGCGTCACCCCACTAAGCTGTAAGAAGTGCTGTTCCTGCTCAACAACAACAACATTCCGTGCCTTCCTCATTCACAACACTCAATCACAATCCCACACCCTTATACCCTGACGTAACATCTCTTCACGCAAACACAACCAATCCAACCGCAAACATGGCTCGTCAATTCTTCGTCGGCGGCAACTACAAGATGTGGGTACTTTCACAAGCTGTGAGTGCTTGGAGAAGATGAAGAGAAGCTGACAAGTCTAAAGGAATGGCGACATTCAGACCATCAAGTCGCTCGTCGAGAACCTCAACAAGGCCCAGCTCGACCAGAACACAGGTACGTCGAAACATATTTCCAGCGATCCGAGAAAAGCGCAAAACTCCATCATACCATCAGGATGACGAAAGACTGACACCAAGACCAGAGGTCGTCATCGCACCACCAGCGCTCTACCTCCTCCTCGCACGCGAGCACCTCCGCAAGGGCATCGAGGTCGCGGCGCAAAACGTCTTCGACAAGCCTAACGGTGCCTTCACCGGCGAGATCTCGGCTCAACAACTCAAGGACAGCGGCATCACTTGGGCTATCCTTGGTCACTCTGAGCGTCGCCAGATCCTACAAGAGACTGACGACTTCGTCGCCAGCAAGACAAAGACTGCCATCGACAACGGTCTCAGTGTAATCCTGTGCTGCGGTGAGAGCCTGGAGCAGCGTGAGGCGGGCGAGACCGTCAACGTTGTGACCAAGCAGCTCAAGGCTGTCGCGGACAAGGTCAAGGACTGGAGCAAGATTGTCGTTGCGTACGAGCCCATCTGGTGCGTCAAGCTTACAAAGATAATTTTCATGCTCAATCACTAACGTAGAACAGGGCCATCGGTACCGGCAAGGTCGCAACCACCGAGCAAGCACAAGAAGTCCACGCCGCCCTCCGTGAGTGGCTCAAGAAGGAGGTCTCTGCCGAGGCTGCCGAGAAGACCCGTATCCTGTACGGTGGCAGTGTCTCAGAGAAGAACTGCGCGGAGCTTGCCAAGCAGGCCGACATTGACGGTTTCCTTGTCGGCGGTGCTAGCTTGAAGCCTGCCTTCGTTGACATCATCAACGCCAATCAGGCATGAATGCCTCGAAGCGATGCTCGTCTATAGTTGATTGGAGCGTGCTTCGGCAGCTAATGGTTATGATCTTATGAAATAAAAGAAGACTTGGCTAGGACCTATGTAGATTCAGCAAAATGAACGTGCATGAAGATCATCGCTTTGGGCTCTGCAAGTTTCGTGATTCCTGTGTTTTTGATACATTGTTTGTACAGTGTTGATGTCTTTCCAGCTAGTATGTACCACTCCCATCTTCTTGGGCATGCCCGAAAATGTCGGGTCCTTCCGCATTGGTGTCACACAAGCAGAGCTTTGGCCGATAGGCCACCACGCCTTGCCCTGGTTCTCGCTGGATATCGTTGCGTATAGTATTCGTCTTCATCTGTCTTTCATTCTTCAAATATTGACTTTGCTGCCGTGGAACGGACTCCAGATACCCCTAACGTTCTCGTTCAGACTCTTCACTGGTCGTCCATCCAGCCTTCTGTTCTTCTCTCCTGTACTGTTCCTTAACATCTCCGCCTTTTCCCTCACACCCTCATTTTGCAGATTCCTCACACATATTGACCGTTGAGCGCCGTTGATGTAGTTTGCGATAATGACGGGGTGGTGGCGTGGCCGCGGGCTGACGGAGATTTCGATCTGGGGGTTGCGCTTGGCGAAGGCGGGGAGAGAGGCTTTGAGGAAGGCGTTCATGCCTTTCGACGACCCCCACCAGTTGCAGTAGTGGAAGGTGATGGACTTGCACGGCAGGACAAAGGCTCCTACGCCGTTCTGTGGTCGTAATTAGCATCCAGGATGACAAATGCGAGGATGAACGGGTCAGTGAGAACATACCTGAGCCTTTGCGACCGTCTTGATAGCCGAGAGAGGCATGTTGGCGGGCAATTGCGGTGGTGACGGCGGTGCTTTCACAATCTCAAAGTCCAAAGTCGGGCCCGGATCTCACGTGCGGTGGTCGCAGCCTAGGTTTGCGCTAGTGCGAACTCCGCGTCGCAGCTTCCTCGAACGCCCCAACTCCCAAACATCGACTTTCATCGTCGCGCCCTCCACTCCTCATATTCCAACTATTCCACATCGCCGTCTGGAGCGCATTCCAGAAACAAACTCGCAACCATGACGCATCTACTCCCCCCGATGCTGCTGAACCTGTTCGCCCCGCGGCCGCCGCTACGATGGGTCGAGCCTTCCGACCACGCGCCTGAAAAGCGCTGCACGCCCAAGATTGGCGGCATTGGCCAGTACATGGAGGCGCTGAGGGAGTACAAAGACAACGACGGCTACGTGCCCACCGACAGCTGGCTGCAGAAGCGCGATCGCAAGAAGCTCGAAAAGAAGGAGAAACAGGAGTATCTGCTTACCGAAGGGGTCAAGGATTGTACGACATCACCACGCGCGCTTGCGCTATCACTTGCGCAATTGTTATTTGCATCACTCACTAACATTATCTAGACAAACCCGTCGAAGATCCCAAAGTACAGGGCGACGCCTTCAAGACGCTGTTCGTTTCTCGCCTATCCTATGGCGTCACCTCTGATGACCTCGAGCGCGAATTCGGCCGCTACGGTCCCATCGAGCGCATTCGGATCGTTGAAGACGTTACTCAACCCGCCGACGCGCCACCCAAGAAGCGAAAGCGCGGTTACGCTTTTATCGTCTTCGAGCGCGAAAAGGACATGAAGGCTGCATACAAGGAGACAGACGGTATCAAGATCAAGGATCGACGCGTGCTTGTAGATGTCGAGCGCGGCCGCACAGTCTCTGGATGGCGCCCGCGTCGCTTCGGTGGCGGTCTCGGTGGACGAGGCTACACCAAGGGCCCGTCTGCTCGTGGGCCAAGCGGAGGAGGTAGCCAATTCGGAGGACCTCCAGCTGGCCCTGGTGGCTTCGGAGCCCGCGGCGGTGGCTTCGGTGGAGGCTTCGGCGGACGAGGTGGTGGCCGTGGCGGCTTTGGCGGCGGATTCGGGGGCGACCGAGGAGGCTTCGGCGGTGGACGAGGAGGTTTCGGTGGCCGCGGTCGAGGAGACTTTGGTGGTGGTCGCGGAGGTATCGGCTACCAGTCCAACGGCTATGGACCTCCCGATGGCGCACCAGCTGGTCCTCGCGGTCCACGAGGCGGTGGCTTTGGCGGCGACCGAGGAGGCGGAGGTGGATTTGGAGGCGACCGCGGTGGAGGCGGAGGACGATACGAAGACCGACGCGGCGGCGGTGGTGGTGGCTACGACCGAGGATCCAGCGGCGCTAACAACGAACCGCTCGGCAGCAGAGATCGATACCGCGACCGCGACGGTGGGTACGGCGGTGGAGGCCGAGACGACGGCTCGAGGAAGCGCGGCTACGAAGGCGACAGCTACGACGACCGAAGCCAGCGCCGCAGATACTAGGCTCGCTCGATGGCTCACGTATCTTCTGCAAAGGGTTTGTCAAAGGTTACCTCCCCTTTCTTCGCCTCACCCTTTCTCGGCTCTGAGGGTAAGATCGAGTTTGTTCTGCTCTTGACGTTCGACCATTCAACACTGCGTTACAGGTCAGGATGGTAAGGGTTGTCGACGTGTCACCTCTAGGCTTTCGATCGGTCATCGCATTCTCGTCGACTAGCACCTCAGGTCTCCATCTCGACTCTTCGGTAAAGCAAAGGTACAGCGTCATCCTTCAGTCGACTACAGTCACGATCTTCATCACCCCAGGTTTTGCACAGGTTTGGTAGGCCGGGCTAGGACGGTTCCCGACGATGGGTAGGGCAAGGTGAACTTTTCTCCCGCATGTTTTATTAGTTTTCTATCTTTCTTTTCAAATTATCTTCCTTGCTCGCGAGTTTTGCCTGGGTAGGTATTAATGTAAGTTACAAGCATGATGGTTCCAGTAGTGCAGCGACGTCAAGGTAAGGTTAACAGGTAAGGAGTTCACTTCCGAGCTTGGTGATCTTACTGTGATGTGTTAGGTATTGAAAAGCATCCTTTTGCTACGTTCATTCGAGAGGTGTGGCTATGTATGGTGATGTGATAGAAATCATCGGGTGTCGAGCTCACTTGGAGTAGAGACGCAAGATTTGGGCGACTGTTCCAGATACTTTGATCGAGAGGCCCGCAATTGATTCCCCGACCTGCGTGCACAAGTTTGGATGTTCGAATCCGCCCTAGAGAGATCGACCCGATACATGCGTGCTATTGTATCCGCATACTAGTCCCTTTTTCTACACCACGATTGTTTCATTGTCTAGGAGGCCTTGCGATTCCATTTCCACCGCTTGGGCGAAGGGTGCACAGACTAGGGGTGGTGCCTATTAAGTATATCGCCCAGTGACTATATCAGTCTGCTATTCACCCTTTCCCTCTTAGTCCACTACCCCTGGAGCACTCAACCACCGTTGGGTCTGCAGCATGGCGCCACGACGATGTTTAGATCGCGCTAGCAAGCACAATGATCTCATCCTTAAGCCCAAAGGTGTTATCAAGAACAAGCCTGTGGACTGGCAAGAAGATGGAGATGGCGAGTTGCAACCGATCTTCGCACCAGAGCCTTTGTTCACACCCGAAGAACTGGAACCGTACAGATCGAATCGCGCACTATTCGATCATAAGAAGAGCTTGCGCAAGCTTGTAAGTATAACAGACGCCAGTACAAAAGTTGTGTGCTGATGAATGCAGGTCGGTCCACCGTTTCCGTTCCTTAAACTCCCAACCGAACTACGTGTCGAAATCTACCGCTACTGCCTGGTTGCATACAAGCCAATCCAGCCTTATGGAGAACATCTTTCAGATATGGTCTTCTTCAGTTCTAATCGCAGCACGAGACTTGCGTTCAGTCTCCTCCGTACATGCAAGGGCATGCACGCTGAGTGCGCGGAGGTGCTTTACGGCGAGAATGAATTCCGCTTCGCCGGCAGGTACCAACATATCCAGCTGCTCAAGTTCCTTACCCACATCGGTCCACGCCATCGTATGTGGTTACGAAACTTGACCACGAGCTCGCCGTTCGTCAGCAGTGGAGACCGCATAATCGAGCATAACGTTGTGCTCGAAATCGACTCAACACTAATAGACTCCGATGAATCGTACAGCTGGTTTATCAACTATCCGCAGTCCCCTCCGCTTTTTGAAGCTCAACCACGTGGCATGACCTGGTCCGACTTGTGCAAACCACTATTCGACCTCCTCGAATCGCTTCCTCAACTCCGTGTCTTGACTATCGTGCTCCCAGATGACTGGGAATACTGCAACGATGCCGGAAATCTCGAACCCTGGCCCCATACCATGGATTCCAGGGGGCGAGAAGAAATTTGGCATTCTATGTCTGGCCTTTTGCGTGTCAAGCCTTTCGTCCAAGTACGGGCTCTGCGGCCCGTGGTGGAGGCCCTTATGAACGACCCTGATCTCGTGGACGCGCAGCAGAATCATAAGCGACATTTGGCGAATCTGAAGCGTAGACTGGGGATTTGGGATCATCGTGTTGCTTTCTACGATCGGCATTGCAAGTGGAGGATGCCGGACCGGGTGGAAGAAGATCCTGATGAGTATCTCCGCGATTTGCGATGTCTTTTTGCTGAACGGACTGGTTAGTTAGCATCACTAAAACGAATGTGGATCCATTGAGCTTTGTGGCCTGCTTAGTCTCTCATAAAGTCTAGATTTACACAGATCTAAGCAGCATGGAATGAGGGTTATGATTGCTTGGTACGTTAACAGCCACTAAGGACAAAGACAGTAATTTACATCCGCGATACTGAGCCCCCATCTCATCTTGCTTATGCATGCATTTACCGGCACGTGTGATATTTGTATACGGAACATGCTAACGGTGGTGAGGGATCATATTGTATCGCAGAGAGTTGAGGCGATTCTTTGTCGCGAAGACGATAAAGCTAACTAACATTATCGAAAGGCTGGGTGCTCTTGCGATCGTTCAAGCCGTCAGAATCCCGCTAAGTGTGAGGCAGTGATCCGTTGTCATCGCATCCACGTTCTTCATCGCTCTAAGTCTTCGTATAGATAGCAGCGTTAGCGACACCACCGTGGTTTATTCTTCGGAAAGCCGATGAAGCTTGCCACATAGTGCTTCCGCCGATACTCCTGCCATTCAGTGACCGACTCTCCCTCGAACTGATCGATGATTCTTGCGGGGTCGTATGTACTTCCCGGTAAAGCGTCGTAATGTATGAACGAATCGTGACTGCTGATATTCTGCAAGATCTGTGGAAGTGCGTCGTAGTCGGCTGCAGCACACAGCCTGCGATCATTCCAGGTAGCGGTGGGTAAGTCTTGGCGCTCGAAGCTCAAGTCTAAAGCGACTTGCCATGCTACGTGTCGCTGTAAGACATCGAAGATCCAACAGACTTGGTCTGGCGCGGATTCGCTGTCTTCGAAAGTTATCTTGAAGGCCCTGCTAGGCATGCCTAGAAGAGGTAATACCATCGCTTCGACCATCCATTCGGCAACAGTGTTCACTACAGCGCTTGAACACATCATGTGTATGCCCCCATGAAACCCCCAAAGTAAATTCCACCACAGATCGACGCGTCGGTGAATCCGCAGTTTCTCGTTCTCCTGACAGAACGGAATCAACCCTCTTACATGGCATTCTGGATATGCGACAGACTCGCGGTCTTCGATCAGGTCGACTTGTCTGAGTTCAGAGCGTATTGAAGTCGGGAGAGACTTTAAGAACCGGATGGCGCAACTAGCCGCGGAGACAAGACACCTATCCGGTCCCATAATACAGACAGAGCTATCTCCAGCGAATACGATGCTAACGATCTCCCCGAGCACCTCATCATCCGGGTATTGCCAAGGTTCGAGGTGCGGTAATCTTGGCAGACCAGATGACTTGCTGGAGTGCGGGCTATCCTTCAGGACGTGTAAAGCGAAGTTGACGAAGTCGCGATACACGGAAGGTGGCTCGCCATGACCGTAATTTGTGTGGAACACTGGCATGATCGGGCCGTCATTTCTCCACGCCCGCAGAAGGGGAGCAAATTGAGGATAGACGAGACTGATGAACGCTTCTGACTTGTCTGTCAAGCCAGACCGCGCTATCTCGTCAAGTAAACGGTTCTTGTTCCTGTGCAGCTTTCTTAGAGCAGCGCAAAATAACCCTAGATTGTTGCTTGATTCACTCGGCCTTGTGGTACGGAAAGTAACCGTGTTAAGTCGTAATGCGAGGCCGTGCAGTTCAGCTGCGGCCTGACGACACGCGTACGTGAGTGATAGATCGATGTGTTCGCCGTCCGCCCGCGTCAGTTTATTCTTGTCGAAGTTGTATTCCAGGCCCGTATCACAAAGGAGGTAATGGCCATAGATCTGATCTCGTAGTTCCCGCGGTAGCCGAAAGAGTGGTGACTGAAGTTGCATATGCGTTGGGCGACTGGGGGAGGCCATGGCCATGGTCGTACAGCGTATGGTTTTGGGTGCCGGGGTCTTGGAGAAAAGCTCTTTGATGCGAGCGACCAGAGGTTCCCATGGAATGCGAATAACGAGACATCTCTTGATACCAGTGAACAGAGATCTTCTAACGCGAAGAAGGACCCCTCTGAATAATGGGAACACAAATATTATGAAAAGAAGGTAGACGAATTCCCTAATGAGAAGTTCCCTGGTAAAGGGGGTCCAAGGCTCCGTTATCAGCGTAGGTAGGTATTCAGCAATCATCGCTTCGTGAACCAGATGGGTGAGCTGAATACTGAATAAATTCCTTGACGGTAATGAGGATGGGTAATTTGAAGCAAGTGGACGTGGCGTCTGCTGGAAATAAGTAGCAACGGCCGTGGAAGCCCCCCCTTACGCTTCGAAGACCACACTTGTGAGTATGGAGACGACCATTCCAACGAACAGCTCTGGCAAACCACCGTTATCGACTTACCAACCTACCAACGTACACACCCAAAGTATCTCGCGAAGACAATTGAAGCTCGAGCGCGAAGCCCGGAAGACCACAGTTGCAAGATCAGTTTTCCATTCGAATGTACCGCATTAGTAATGCAGCTGTAGCGGGCTGCTGCCTGAGGGCTCAACTCTGGTAATCGAGATTGTACCAAGGTTACATGCCCTCCCACCGGCCGGCTTGTCGTAGGGCTACATAGTCAGACCAGAAGCAAAGCCAATGATACATGAATCATTGGTCACGCAGAATGCGACGCGTATCTGATGAAGCTTCGTTGGTAGTCTGTAGGTGTCTTTTCGCGGAGCCAGCGACGATTAGTACCGAGCCGAAGTGGACACACTTTACCTTATCAGTACTAGTGTACATTCGGCACCAGTTGACCCTCCGTGCTTGCTGCATTCACCATGTGCATTGTCCGTTGCAACACGTCCCTGGTTCCGCGCTGCGCCTCAAAACATTATGAAAGCCATACTTGCTCCGACCAGCGCTGCCTTTGCTTCACCGACGTCCCGCACTCTATCAAGCCGACGCGTCTTGTCGTACGGCACCAAATCACGTCAGGCGCGAGACCCCAGGCAGCAGAACCGGGCGAAGGACCCTGAAAAGCAGAGCATGGCTTCGTGTATTCGTCAATATTCTTTGTCTAGGGTCGGAGTTGAGGAAAGACAAAACCCCTGCGCCTGCACGAGATTCTTCGCTCCTCTACCCGTACTATGGTACTAATATCAGGCTGCTGTCTTTGCCATTGCAGCTCATCAAGGTGTGCGAACATATTTCGAAGTGAATGGACAGCAGTCAGATTATGTGCGAACTGGAAGCTATGATATATTAATCGTCTGCTTCACATAAACATAATACCACCAGTTCAGTAGTCCACCATCATTCGTCGACAACTACAGCATCACACGCAGCCATTTGAGTACATGCCACGGAGGCAATGGGTCCTCGGTTTGGAAGCTTTGCGGCTGGTGCCAACCCCAATGGTCTACCCATTGCTCGTGCGTCCAGCCGTGATGTAGCGCAAGCAGAGACTCCACGTTGTCTGATTGGCCAATGTCGAAGTTGCAGCTAATCGGCCCACCATCGGTTGACATGTCGCGGATCGCAGCTGGAAGCCCTTCGTACTGGTATCCAACGCGAGCTCGTCGCTTATACCATAAAGGAGTGGGCAAGAGTCCGCGAGCATATGCAGCATCAAGAGCTAATTGCCAGGCAACGTCTCGCTGTACGATCTTGAACACAGTAGAGGTGTGTCTGGGCGTAGGGCTGCCATCCAGCAGCACGCTGAACGAATCCTGGGGCATCCCGAGTGACGACAACGCCTGGGCTTCAATGATCCATGCCCCCACTGCCTTGGTGATTGTTGATGAGAACAGACGGTCATCTTTCACGATATCGCTATTCTCCCTGAACGCGCTTAGGTATTTGATAAGTGATCCAGGCCCCGCTCGAAACACGCTGCTCCAGACGTTCACGATACGCTGAACGCGCAGACGCTGGTTAGATCGACATAAAGGGATGAATCCTCTTCCGTGAGACGCCGCATTCGCGATCGATTCGCAGTCTTCGTGAAGTACGACGTTCCGCACCTCGTTGCGGGACGACGACGGAATCGCGTGGAGGAAGCGTAGGGCTACGGACGCCGCCGAGTAGCGGTACTCCAAACGAGAGGAATATAGCGTTCCGACTTCGACATCCGCGATGCTTGTGAGTCTGTTGATTTCGGAAGTAGTCGGAATGAGCCATGATTCTGGACAGGCCTCATCTAGAGCTGAAACGTTCCAGGGAGCCTCCTCGGTCCAATAATGAGGCATAGACTCCGCTTCGTCTTGACATGCGGGGTGGTCCGACAGCAGACTGAAGACGCAGTTAATGAAATCTCCCCACGTTGATGGAGCTTCTCCGCAGTCAAACTCATGCTTGTATAAAGCGAAGATTTCCCGGTGCGGAGTCCAATCGTCAAAAACATGAGCGAACTGCGGGTATGCGTCAATTGCCCTTTGTACCATGTCGTTGGAGAGAAGCCGAGGTATGAGGTGTCGTAGCAGCAAGTGCTTGCGATGCCTTAAAACATACATCGCTCCGTGCAATAGACCGGCTTTCAGTCGTGTGGACTCTGAGAAGTGGGTATAGAAGGTGATGGCATTCTGCCTGAGCGCGAGCCCTCGCAATTCGGCTGCAATCTGGCGGCATGTAAGAGCGAGCCCGGTGGAGATGGGAGAACCGTCGGCCTGTAGGAGTCGGTTCGTCTGAAGAGCTAAGGGTCAGCGCGTGCACAAAGTCCAGCACATCGTCGTTCCCATACCTCGAAGTTGTGGATGTAGCCACCGTCGACTTGGACGTAATGCTCGTAAATGAGATCTCTCAGCTCGCGTGGAAGGCGCAATATTGCCGGCAGTGTGGATGTGTGATTGTTCATACGTTCGAGATGAGAGCCGGCGAGCCCAGGTGTGTCGAAGTGGTTGATGGATTGAAATGGCTTCATAGTGAAGGTTCTGTGGCGGTCGGTAGCAGAAGAACGAGGGACAAAATGGTGTTCTTGTAGCTGGAATTGAGGGTATGTAGAATTGCAGAGGAGCTCATCTGGTCAAGCTACGGTGGTCAACCAGAGACCGTGATAATATGTAACCTTGGCCACCCAATTTTGCACACCTGCGACAATTCGAAGGCCTCGGTAAGGCCATGATGCGCCATTGCTAGTCGTAGCGTGTACCAGGTATAGCTCTCCTGTCTAGGTAGCAGAAATAATCGAATGGGCGCAGGGTTGTAGAAGGCGGGCGGTATCGTGTTGGCGGGGAAGCTCGCGTCCGGTACGCGGTAATGGTTAATGGAAACAGACGCGATGCGGTTCGCTGAGACGCGTTGATGACGTCAGCGCCGATGCATCAAAGCGTCTCAGGCAACCACATCCAACGCGCCGACCACAAGTATGACAAAGACATACCAACAAACCCATGGATCAGTTATGGCCTCTATTCAATTACGCACGTTGCTCGATTCAGAAGAAGAATCGAAAAGGCCCTATGGATGCACGCCCCAGTCTGTGTCAACAGCGCACTCAGCTATTCTTCGGTTGAAGGGCGCGAACTCAGTTTCGTCTCTGCTGTTCCTACTTATGAGCCACTTCTTACCGCGGTCTACCGAGGTAACCTACAGATTGAGATCCACACCTGTGACGAATGATCGAATACGCCCTTCAGGAATACCTGACTCACTTCTTTGGATGCGGCTTTGGTAGGCTTTGTTGCTGATGAGTCACGCGCCCGCCAAATGCACATCTTCATCACGACAACAACCTTCCACACATCCCATCATTTGTTTTACCAAGACATGAGTAGAGAATACTTGATACCTCTCGTTGACAGATTTTCTTGTTAATCTCCATCATGCCTACTCCGATCACCCTAGCAAGCACGCAGCTTCAATCCCGCCTCTTTCGCCTACCTAGGGAACTTCGAGATCTCATCTACTACCATTACCTATACAACGAAGCAGGCCTTACCTACAATTTCTACACGAACAAACTACATGTCAATCTGTCGCTAATGTACACATGCCGTGCGGCCGCGCTCGAGCTTCGAGGCCTTGCTCTGCGGCTTAACAAGGTCGTGTTCTGCACAACCTATCCGAATGCTACGCGAGCAACTTCGGGCATATTTCACAAGGCCTTCGACAAATTACACGTCCTTAAATTCGATCTACTCAACCTCCAAGCTCCACATCTAATGACTGAAGCAATCAAAAAAGAGGTATCCCTCAAGTATCCACAGTTCTCACCGGTCCTAGCGACACTAGGAACAGGTTACTGCCGGAGCACCTTGGGAGAGCCAGCCTCGACATTCCGCGACTTTGTTCATTTCACTTTGAACCTCTTGTATGACCGCAAATACAATCCTACACTGGGCGGCAAACGTTCGGAACGCCGACGCCGAAGTCTCCGAAAAATAAACCCAGAGCCCTGGTCAACGCCCAACGAAGGCAGACTCCCACGTGGTCAAGAGGGAGAGTTCGGCTATTCCACCCGGTGCTACAGGCGCGACCTTGCAGTTACGCTCGACCGCGAACTCCAGCAACTAGCTGACGTAACAGTGACTCCTGATCGCGTTGAGCGTGTGAAGTACTGCTTGTCCGCAGCAGCATGCGCAATACGTTTCCTGAGGTCCCTCCGTGCCGAAACGCGCGAACACGTGCGAAATGTTGAGCTCATCGAGAACCGAGAGTCTATCGCATTCCCAGAATGCCACGGCAGGGGTTTTATACCGTTCTGCCGTGAGCAACCAAAGTTGCGCGTTCATAGGCGTGTCAGTCTCTGGAGAAACGTGTTCCCCGTAACCACTGGATTAAGTTACAGCATAGGCGGGCAACGCTTGAAAGACGATCGGCTTGTCTCCAGCTACGTCTCAAGCGCGGTCGCGAAGTGGATGGCAGAAGCGTCTGCATTACCCTCCCTAGGTATGCCCGAGGGCTCTTTCAAGCTAACCCTCGAATGCGACTCCGCGCCCGAAGAGACGACAGAGGTCTTCAACGTCGTACAGCGCGATGCCGCCTGGCAAACTGCCCTGGACCTGAGTTACGCACGGCATCTCCTACCACAGCCCGATTGGCGCATTCGCAGACTCCGCAGCGCATACCTATATGAGGCCTTCCCCAAGCTGCTAGAGCAAGTCACCAATGGCGACCACCCTTTTATACATTGCGATTTCCACCCAGGCACAGTGTGCGATCCGGAGGACATAATACGCGAGCGGAGGGGCGACTCATCGCAACAATGGCATCAAGCCTGGTTCAATTATACGCCTGGAGAGTTCCAAACACCCGCCAACATGCCGCCGTGGCACAAACTACGCGCTGGCTATATAGTTTGGGATGTTTATGGAGGAGCGCGATATCACTGATTAAGGCTGCGAACGCAATCTAGCATGCGATCATTCAGTATAGTTTACACTGTGATCATTACTTCGGACTTGAGTTTGGGCATTGCATACTGCAACTAGGTCCACTGTTTTTGTTTCGACGAGAATAGCGCATCAAAGACATCCCAGGTAGAATATAACACAATTACAGAATAATTGATAGAGAGGCTGAACTCCCTCCTCACCACCCCTCGATCCCCGCTACCATATCGCTATCTCCTCCTCCGCCCCCCTCCACAGCTTCGGCCCCTAAACGCCCGCGTCACCCCTACTCCCAATACTCAGCCACGTCAACCTAGAAAAGGCCCGAACAGGCCTGCAGCCTACATCAACATAAATGTCTACACGATAGGTGACATAGCGCGGATGTAAGGTCTAGATCTATTCAGTTTTCTTCTTCTATAAGGTGCAGCCAACCATCCCCTTCCCCCGCCTACTTCCTCCTCCCATGTTTCGCAATCAAACTCCTGCTCTCCCCACACAGCCAGATATGCGGCCCAGCCTCCCCATCCTCCAGCCCATGCTCATTGATGATATGCTCAATCTGTTTTGCGCGCCCGCGGTTCGCGCTCAGGGTGGTGAGGCACGCGGCCCAGCCGTAGAGGAAGATGGATTTATTGAGGTGGCCGAGTTCGGCGGCGACGGCGGTCGCGGCGCGGGGGAGGTTGGAGGTAATGGTGGAGACGTTGGGGGATTTGACGGTTATGGGGAGGGTGAAGGAGGGGGGTGGGGGGTAGTCGGAGAGAGAGGCCTGGTGGGGGTGTTAGCTGGGGTTGTGTGGGGTGATGATTGCTTCATGTTGAATGCGCTTGTCAAGAGCTTCATGTGACCATGAGCATGTACGTACCCATTCTTCAACGAGCTGTTGTTGTGACCATGACGCGCAGTCTCCTTGTCGGAGTAGCAGGTCCGCTCTTGTCTTCTCCGTGTCAGTTGCCAGAGTCTGCACTATCAGATTCATCTGCTCGGCTGCTTCGCGCGTGCACACCATCGGATGCGCGCCGATGGCAGGGTATAGATGTGTCGGTAGCAGATGCTCTTGAGCTTCTTCCTCGATCTGGGCGCGTACCTCCCCTGGATACCAGTCCAGTATCGGGCATGGTTTGTGGGAGATATCAGATATGAGGGCTAGTAGAATAGTGCAGTCGATGTTTAGAGTATCGCTCAAAGCCCGGGATCGATCGATGAGTAGGCGGGGTAGAACAGCTTCTATGGAGAGCGCGGGTGGAATGTCATCTCCACATTGTACTATCGCACCCGTAGCGCGTATTTTATTGATGATCATATCGATGGCTGGTGTTTTCCCAGCAGAGATTCGCGTCAAGACGAAGCGCACCTTGGGCGGCCGACCGCGAATAGGATTCGCACGCGCAGCTCTCGCAAGACCTCGCGCGTTGCGCACCACGTCGATTTGGTCTTCATCGTCATCGTCGTCCTCTGGCGGAGGCGGCATATCGTCATCATCTTCAGAGTCCGAGTCGTTTACCCAACCCAACTTCGCGAGATCGAAGAGAATACGCTTTTCTGAGACGGTTGATACCCGTATCCACTCCGCACCCTCTTCTGCAACGATATCAACGAGGGCAGAAGTTTTGTTCTTTGCTTGGCTTCCCTTCGCCAGGCTGACTCCTTTTGTTGTACTCTTTCCTGCTGGTGCTTTATGCCGGTCCCAGAAGAAGTATTTGCGGAAGCTTTGGATTCCCATTGAGCGCTTTGCTGCGCCCCATAGTGCTTCGTAGTAGAGGAGGTTTGACGATACAATGTAGTGCCGGGCTTTTTCCTCATCCATGGAGCATCCTGCGATCTTATGTAGGAAGGCTAGCTCGTTGCGCATGTCATTGCGAAGATTTCGGTATCTAGTACAGTTAGCTGTGGTCTGAGGCTGCCGGTCTAATCACGAAGCAGCTCACCCCTTCTCAGACGGACCCCCCCTGGAGGTAGACGCTATGTTGTGTACTGTCAATGTGAGAGCAAACCCACCGCGAACACCTCCAGGGTCATATGAGGTTCAATCTGGGAGGGCGGGGAGCCTTCGTGTAGATTACTATATCATTGTGATGGTATAGACGTACTCAACTGGATTGTAAACCTTCCCAACTTTTTGCTTCTCGAGAACCGCGGCAATATACGTCTCTACCTCGTCGTTGAGATGGTTGCCACGCGCTACTAGCTCCTGGATAGTAGCTTCGAGCTCAGCTTTTGGGGTTGGCATCTTGCCGTCGGCCGGCTCTTCCCCAAGATCGATCTGGCTGAAGTTTTGGGTGATGGCTTCTGCCATGATCACTTCGGACCGGGAAAACCCTGGATAGGCCTGCAGACTACACTATAATGAGGACAAGCGAATCGGAAGATTGGGCGGTAACGTAGGCTCCAGGGTCCGGTATGTTTGATAGCGCACGCTGGCTAGTTGGAGTATGGCGTGAAGAATGGGAAGACTCTCTGATTTCACTGCGCTGGTTTGGAATCCAGCGGATACGTCCTCGTGCTATCCAACACCCGGCGTCCTGAGATTGTTCTTGGTGAGTAGTAGTCTGGGTGGTGGGGAGTTGATAAAATAGATTTCGATTGCTGAAGATGAAGTACGGGAGCCCTGACTCAAGCACTAGTCAAACCGTGGAAGGTTCTCGGGTAGTGGCGCAAGCATCAAAGTGCTATTGCCTGATAGGTCGGTTCTGGTGTCAGCCCTTTTCTGCATCCCGGGTTCCTGTCGCGTGGTACCTGGGTAGGGTCGCGATTCTAGTCTGGCCCGACGATTCCCCGGCCGACCCCGCCAAAAGTTGCCCGCATACCGAACCCACGCACCGACCACCATCCTCATCTCTCTCTCCCTCTCCCCCAGACACCACCAACCCACCATGCCGTACTTCGCAACGAGCCAGGAGTGGTACGAGCAGTCGTCGCTCCTGCTCAAAGCGCGACCGACATCCGTATGCCAAGCTCCACTCCACACGCACGCACGCGACCCGCCTTCTAATCGAGCTACTAGACACGCATCACGTCCAAATACTCTGTCCTCAAGCCCACGGCCTCCAAGATAAAGAAGCGCCAAAAGTACGAGGAGAAGCGAGCTTCGAAGCCCACAGAAACAGCGCGCGCATCATCACCGCCGCCGCAATCGCAGAATCCCGAAGAAGTCACCGTGTTCTTCACGCTGAAGACGTACGACCCCGAGTCAGGGACATGCCTACAATATGAGACCAACAAGGGCGCCGAAGTCGGAAGATTGATTGGAAACCTGGGCAGGCTGGGAAGACACATGGCAGCGCTGCCGGAGACAACGGACGATCTGAGCATGCCGGCTGGCGGTGAGGCCACATCCACACCACAGGTCGATGAAGGCGGAGATGTGAAGATGGGCGGCGTCCCAGCGGCTGGCGCGGGAACTGGAGGCAAGAAGAAAAAGAAGGGCAAGAAATGAGTAGGATTACATCACAACCATACAATAATGCACGCGCCGGGCAGAGCGCCCAAGGCAAACGAAGACATCGCGACGCACGTACACGATACCACGAGGCTCAGGGATATCGATTGCGGTTCAATGATTGATGAAGGACCAAGGCATATATGGCGCACAGCCTGCGAAATGAAGATACCCAATTCCACTCCAAGCCTGCCCGTCCGTGAACTTCTCGCACCCGCCGTCCATACTAAAACTTCCTAACAGCCTTACCAGCAGCCTCAGCGTACGAGACACCCTTCATGCGCTCCCTAAGCTTCACCTTACGCTTCTCAGCTTTGCGCTCTTCTTTCTGCTTCTCCATCCGCTCCTTGCGCTCCGCCTCCTGCTTTTGCTTCTCAGCTGCTGTCTTGCCGACGATTTCCCACTCGGCCTTGTCCTGCTCGTGCAGCGCTTCGTCCTTGTCTACGACGTCCCAGTTGTCCTCGCTGTTGGCGCTTGACTCGGGTGGGTGTAGACCAGCGTTGTTGGTTTGGTTGAGGAAGTCCTTGAGGTCTGACGGCGGGTTTTGCATCGTGGTGGTGGGGATGCTGGAGGACATCGTGGTGAGTTGATGACTAGTCTGCTTGCCGAGGATATTATGGTTTGAGTAAGTGAGCGAAGGGTTGAGGGAAAGTGTAAGATCTGAATGTGGTGAGCGTTCGATGATAGTGGTTTACTTTGTTCGTGGGAATGGTTATTGTCCTACACTGACAGACTACAGAAAGTATATGTACCGGCCCGGCCGGTGGTAGTGCCTTTAATTCGCGACTCTCATTCACAGCTGAGTTGCTGCAGTGAATGTCGAATCATCACCGCGCAGCCATGCGTGCGTCACATTCCGCCGTTGGCAGGCGGCCAAATATATTCTCTCGACTAAACCATGGTTCTCGCACCCGGGATCTTGACTACAGGAAGGATGGAGCTTCCTGAAGTTGGCCTAATCCCAGGTTTCATGGATCCGATACGTTATGTTGAATCTGGCTGCGAGACTGCAGGGTGAGCGCATCCATACTGCCAGGTTAATGTTGCTTATGTTGATGGTGGTGTTGTACGCCACGATCACCCAAGGGCGCAGCTCATGAAAGCGCACCCGAGAGTGAGTGGCCGATCAAGCAATACCGCAACACTGGATGGCTGTTATTTATTGCTGTCAAGAATCGCACGTCTTGGCTGAAGTTGTCTGTTTGGCCGGTACATGGGCTGTTCCTTCCGCTTTAGGTTAAGTCCGTGCTGCGGCGCAGCATCAACATTAATTAACAAGGGGCAGTCGCGATCACTCAACCTCCGCGTCAATTCCACTGACAGTTCCCAGACCATGAAATTCATTCAATTTTCGCGTTTTCCACGTCTTTACCAGCTCCTCTGCCCAGAGCTCAACCAACGCCAACCGCTCACCCAATACCAGTGCAAACTTCAAGAATTATTCGAACCGAAGGACGAGACCTGGTTTTACAATACCTTCGCAAAAACCCGATCAGGTGCGGACCGGATTCAGAACTACCACCCTCCGGCTGGAGACCTCTTCGAACGCCTTCCAAACGAAATCATTGACGAAATATTCGATTATGTGCTGCTTCACAAGGATGACAGCCTCAACCCTGACAAACGCAAGGATGAGGAACTTCACGACAAGGCTGAACATGACGCCCTGGACGATCTAGTTTCCTTGGGCCTTTCCTCCGCACGCCTATGGCCACTGCTCTTGGAGCGCATCCATCGGAACTACCAGACCAACTGGTCAGGCAAGAAGGTTGGCTTCCACGACTACAACCTTGCCTTCACTGCTGAGCAAGGGCATAACTATGGTATCGCGTATGAAGTGATTGGTCAAAGTGGGCGCCCATATCCACGATGGAAGAGTTTGATTACAGGTTGGACATGGGAACACTTCAGCTCCCTGCCAGATATGGCATGGCGTGTTGCTCTCATTCCTTCCTACAGATCTCGATACTCAAACACGAGCGACTTAAAGTCCATGAAGTACGAGATAGAGATTCCACCAGATGATCGGGAGAAGATCGAGCGAGATCTCCGGCGGACGAATCTGCGTTCCACAGAGACAGAGTGGGTACTACGCAACCTAACGACCAGACAATACGTACGTTCGGATCGATTGCAAGAGCCGGCCTCCGCAGAGCCAGAGTGGCCTCCCCTGCCCAAGTCTCAGGAAAAGCTGATGACCAGAATGCGGCGACAGCGCAAGGCCCTGATACAACGAATGAGGAATGAGGCAACGGAAGACTATGTCTCACCTTGGCCCTTTGACCTGGCGAATCTGCCACTTACTCTGGCCAACATCTTTCTGGTTCTGACCTGTGACAGTGCAGAAGTATTACCATCATACATTCCTAAAGATGACCCCGAAAAATATCTGCACTTCCACGATGCCCCCTGGTCGGGTTGCGCATTCGAACTCATTCCGCTGGACGATCACCTTGATGCTCAAGAACAAGGCTTGGACCCAACAGCTCCGACAGATGAGACGTGGATGGATGTCAGTAGAGATGTGGTCGCCGATATGGCGAACTTGCGCTTCTGCATCCAGAAAAACATTGCTATCTCCGAAGAAGAGATCAAAAGGAATCTCAACACTGCAGAGAGACGAGGTGAACAACCAGCATGGCATGCGTTTTGGGTCAACTTCTACGCCAGCATTGGAGAGACAAGAAGGCAGCATCGACAGTGGGTGAAGACGTGTCCGCCTAGGCCTTGGATAGATGAGAGCATGTATGCGGAAACGTAGATAGTCGAAGTGACCGGAACAATCCCACCTTCACTTTCACCTCGCTTCAATACAACACAATAGGAGAGAGATGCTTCTATCCACTCCTATCGTAGTCTGCAAAGCTATTGTACACCTCGATTCTCCCAATCCTATTGTATCTCCCGTCGCTCTCCGAGGTATCAAAACCTCGCCGACTGCTCTACAAAAACTACCCCAGACACCTACAACACCTTCCACCCCCTCATATCTTCCACCCCAAAAGTCTTAACATACTCCTCGCACCCCCCAAACCCACCTCTCCACCACCCAAAAGTAGCTGGACTACTTCCGCGCCTCGCTCACTCCCCCACAATGAGCCCCCACTCCCGCCTCTGTCGCCGCCTAACCTGGCACCTCTGCCGCGCGCGCCGCCAGCTCGAGCGCCGCACAAACGGCCCACCAGCCATGCGAACGCGAAGCCGCCTTGCCGCCAAACCAGCACCCGCACAAGTCACACCCGCAACACCACTTACCCTCGGCGGTGAAACCGGCACCCTCACCAAAAAACCCCCCACCAAGAAACAACTCCTCGCGAGCTCAAAGCGGCTTGGGCGGAAAAGACTAGCGCTAAAGCGGGTTTTGGAGAAGAAGAAGAAAGACATGGATGAGAAGGGGAAGAGGACGTTTGGGATGGGGCAGCGGATCAGGCTGTTAAGTCAGCTTGGTCCGGCTGGGGAGTTGGAAGAAGGAGGGAGGAGGTTGGTGCCGGCGCAGCGGAGGATTGCGACTGTGGAGGAGATGAGGGTGAAGAGGGAGGGGAAGAGGGTGGGGAAAAGTCCGTTGAGGAGGACGTTGTGAGAGGGGGTGGGTGGAGGGGAGGATGTTGGGGGGATGTCGACTTCAGGGGATGGTTTAGGGGGAGGGTTGGAGCGCTGGGCGCTTGATGTATTCCTCAAACGTATATTTGGTTCGACGGTTAGAGCGCTGGGCGCGAAGTGTATTCCTCAAACGTACATATACCCCGCCGATCGAAACGCTGGTCACTTCACGTCGTCTCCCGGCGTCATCCTCCTATCTACAAGTTCAACAACACACTCGCCAACCCCATTCCAACACCCCACGCCGCACCAACACCCAGACCCCGCTTCTGCGCCTTACCCTGATACTCCGGCATACCCGCCCCAGCACCAAAGTCATACTCGAAGCTTCCATTGAGCGCCACAGGGCCCTGAACACTTCTTCCAGTACCAAGAATAGTAATATTCTTAACAACACACTCCGTCGCGTATCCAAAGTCACCGTCCATGCTGAACTTGCCGTTGTCGTAGGAGAACGTGATCATGGACGTGGACGGCTGCTCGATGCTATCGCCGTCGTCGAGGTACAAAGAACCGCTAGCCTGGTTCGTAGCGTTCGGCGCGATCCACAAGACAAAGTCCTGCTTCCGCAGCTCGGTGGTGGTGTTTGCGGATTCAGCGCGCAGAGGGATGATGGAGCCGCCGCGGACGTGGAGGGGGATGGAGTCGAAACCGATATCGGTCAGGTCGATCATGCTTCCGTTTCCTTGGATGCGCTCGCCGGTCCAGTAGTCGTAGAAGACTTCGTTGGGGAGGTAGATGGATACACTGGTTGAATTTTCTTCCAGCACGGGTGACACGAGGATAGCGTCGCCGTAGAAGAATTGGTATTCGAGGGCGAAGGTGTTGGGGTCGGTGGGGTAGTGGAACCACAGCGGGTTCAAGCTGGGTTCTCCGGTGGTGGTCTGGCGGTGGAAGGCTGTGTAGAAGTAGTCGAGTAGACGGTAGCGGACGGCGATGGCGTTCTTGGCTGCGGCGGTGGTCAAGGGCCAGCGGTAGTACTCTTGGTCGATTGATGTGTCGCCAGCGTGGTTCCTCATGAAGGGGTAGAAGGCGCCGAGAGTTGCCCAGCGTGCGCACAGTGTCTCGGTCGTGTTGCCGGCGAAACCGCAGATGTCGGGTCCGACCATGGGGATCTGGAAGATGGAGTTGAAGTTCAGGATGCCGGCGATGGAGAAGCGGTATTGTGTCCATTCGGAGACGTTGTCGCCGAGCCACTTTCCGAGGTAGGTACCAAGACCGACGAACTAGTCATTTCGTTAGCTGCGGTGTGATATGATGACGTGTGAAGACTTACAGTAGAGCGGGTGATGATCAAAGGACGACGTTCAGGACGGCGCGCAAGCATGCTCTTGTGCGAAGCAATCGACATCATCGAGCCCCAGAAGTTGTGGGTATCATAGTGGTATGTGCCGTCGTAGTTCTGGATGTCGGTGTCGAGGGTCTTGTTGCTGATGGAGCCAGCAGCGTTGGCAATCTGGTACTCCGGGTTGATCAGGTCGCGGCCGGGAAGACCGGGGTGCGCGGCAAGGTCTTCGGTGTTGTTGGAGGCTTGACGCTTAGAGTTGGAGCGCTTGCTGAGGGGAGAGCTTGAGCGAGTCTTCAGCGTGGAGTTGGACTGAGGCTGGAATCCTGCTGGGAAGCCAGGGATCTGGCGGCCATCGGCGGAGGTGCGGACTGGCGGTGGCTCAGGTGGGTTCTTGGACTCCACTGAGTAGGCTACAGGGTCCTCGCAAGGGTACGGGCAGAAGTTGGCAGGCTCGTTCATGTCGTTCCATAGACCATCAATGTCAACACCGGTCGCAGGGTCGAAGAACTCGGCAAACTTCTGGTCCCAGTACTGCTGGGTGTTGGGGTGGAACCAGTCGGGGAAGACAGTTGGGCCGGGCCAGACCGCGCCTTCGAAGAAAGAGCCGTTCTCGCGCTTCTGGAAAACATCGAGCTCGGCACCGTCGTTGTAGCCATCGTAGTCGCCACTCCAGACGGCGGAGTTGACCATCATGATGTAGTGCTGCTGGTGAGCATGGAGGTAGTCAACCACCTCGCGGACGAGTTCAAGAGGGTAACGCTCTGGATCCAAAGTGAACAGGCGACGGAGCTCCATGTAGTCGATGTCGGTCCACATGGTCTGGGTATGTTAGCAAGATTGTTGGATACTTCGTAGAATGGCAAAACTCACCTCAAGAGGAATGTCGGCAGCGGAGTAGTTGGCAACTACCTCAGCAACTTGCCAGACGTCACGGTAACCGTACTTGCATTGGTGAGAGCCGAAACCCCAGTACGGCATCATAGCGGGAAGACCAGAGAGAGCGGAATACTGGACAGCAACTTCCTTCGGTCCAGGACCGGCGAGGAAGTAAAAGTCAAGAACACCACCCAGAGTATTGTACTCAAGGAACTGGCCCTCGGAGTCGTCGATCTTGATGTCCATACCCTGAGAGCTGGCCAAGAAGACACCGTGAGTGCCGTTCTCGCCGCGGTGATCAAAGTAGATGGGGTGAGCTCCGTAGAGGTTGGAACCCTCTGGGGTACCGTAGGCATCACGGTTCCAGAGAGTGCGGGTGTAGTTGGTGGTGTTCAAATGGAAATGGTCAGTCGATTCACCAAGACCGTATAGGTTGGGCGAAGGAGGCAGAGCAGTCCTCAGACGAAGGTACTGCGACTCAAAGACGAGCGATGCAGCGGAGGTGTCGAAGAGTGTCTCATTGGTCTCCTTGCGCTTGATGGCGAAGGAGAACGGGCTGTCGGTCCATGTGAATGACAGGGCAGAGTCCTCGGGGCTGACACCCTCGTCATCGGAAGGACGAGGCCAGACAGATTCTTGGATCTGGAAGACTTGCTCTTCAGCATCGAAGATCTTGACGTGGAGGCGTTCGGCTGTAAGATTGGTTAGCACCAGGAATGATTGTAATGGTTGAAGAACGCACCAGTCTGGTACTCGACTTCAAGCTTGAGGTCAGTCAAATCGTCGCCGTAGACATTGCAAGCGGTGCCCGCAAGCGTAAGGTCCGCGGTAACCTTGGAGCCAGAATCCTGAAGGTTGCTGGCCGTGTATCCAGGGCAAGCTTCAAGTGATGAGCTTTGGCGTTGAACCAGCGAACTTGCAAACGCAGGTACCGCCACCCCAAGAGCGAAAAGGCGTTTGGTGATCATGGTGCCTGAAGGTATTGAGAAAGCCAGGACCGTGTTGGATGCTGATCGTCCGAGGGAACCTTCGCCTTCTTATACTCGAGCGCGTGCAGCCGTGTGTACTAGTCTGATGCACTACAACAACAAAGCATGCATCGTGATCTCGGTTCAGACTTACCGTTTGCATGGCTAGGATAGGCGGATATGCACCCAAGGCGCGCTCCCCCGCAGTACCGTCATCATGGAGGTCGGACTTGCATGGCTTGGCAACGATGCGAGGGCCAGAGAGGCAACATAGCGGGGTCATTGGTTCCGCAGATTCACGCTGTGGAGAGCTTGTTTACCCGGAGAGAATCCCGTTTGGGGTTCGGCTGGCATGGAGGACATACGAGGCGCAAAAGTATGGGGTAAACGATTAGTTGTGTTTACGCGGGTGCGAGGCGCGACGCACGGCGGTTACTCTGATTCGATGGAAGTCGGGAGTGCGAGATGCCGGTCCGAGTTCTCGTGCCGGCGTGCCTTTGCGCTTCCATCGCCAAGCAGACGGCTGGAGAAAGCCAAGACAATGCTAAACTTGGTGACATGTCGTGAGTATTGAGTCCAGACGTCGAGGTCCATGAGGACTTCTGCATGTATTTCCCGACTTCGAGCAGCGCGATACCGAACTTACTGGCTAGCGGACGAACTTGTACGAGGTGAGCATGTCGGACCGGACGTGTGGTCTCTGCTACTGCATGATAAGTTTAATCGGGAAGAACCACACGAGCAGATGTAGTTGTAGCACATCCCGTTGAAGATACCTGAAATGCTTCATTGCGGGTACGTAGATGGTGGGAGTGGCAGGCCGCATTTCTCGAGCCATACGTCTGATCCGTCCTGTAAGAGCAACTCGTTCTAGGCACAAGGCGGCAACACGGAGCACGCGAACCTCTTGTACGGGAGATCAGCTTCAAAGGACTATATCACAAACCATACTTGAAGATGTAGACACCACTGTAGATTATCACCTACACACACAAAAGCATGGCCATGTAGACTTCCAACAAGTGTTTG